TTCATTCGTGGCTGTTGTCGAGACTTCTCAGATAGCCGAATTTCAACATGCGGACGAAGAATTGCTCCCGCTCATCAAACACCTGAAAGGAGCTGACGTACAAGTACCTCGTATATTTTCTCGAAGCCTCGCATCGTTCTGCCTCCGAGGAAATGTCCTCTACAAGAGAAACTTTAAGCCCAACCGTGAAAAGTTTGTGCTTGTCGTTCTCGCAACTATGCGGCAAGAAATATTACAAGCGTGCCACGATGAGCCTACGTCTGGACATTTGGGGGTCACTCGAACGCTTGCACAAATCAGTCTGCACTATTATTGGCCCGAGCTATTGTCTTCAGTACAGCGCTATGTTAGAACATGCCGCGAGTGCCAAAGGCGGAAAGCGTCTTGTGCTAAGCCAGCGGGCCTTCTGCACCCGATAGACCCACCGAAAGCACCTTTCCAACAAATGGGAATGGACCTCCTTGGACCATTCCCGATATCTTTACTTGACAAGAAGTGGATCGTTGTAGCGACTGATTATTTGACGAGATACGCGGAAACAGACTCCTTGCATCGAGGAACGGCAGCTGAGGTCGCCAAATTCTTTGTACAGAGCATAGTGCTACGACATGGCGCTACGTCTGTTGTAATCACCGATCGCGGACCGGCTTTCACAGCAAAACTCATGGAATGCCAGCTGAACATGACCCACACTGTTGACAGGAAAACTACCGCATATCACCCTCAAAGCAACAGCCTGACTGAACGCCTTAACAGAACTCTAGCTGACATGATATCTATGTATGTGGACATGGAACACAAAAAGTGGGACGAAATTTTACCATACGTCACCTTCGCCTATAACACCGCCGTACAAGAGACTACCAAGATTGCCCTGTTTCAACTAGTTTACGGTCGTGTAGTTACCACAGCACTGGATGCTATGTTACCTATAGATCAACATGACTACCCTTCTGATCTCGATGACTATATAGAGAGAGCGGAAGAGGTCCGCCAATTAGCAAGGTACCTAATATGTCACCAACAACGAATCGATGCTGATCGCTACAACCGAGGAAGACGTGAAACACGGTATGAAATTGGTGACAAAGTGTGGATATGGACCCCAGTACGATGACGAGGCCTGTCTGAAAAACTCATTTGTCGATATTTCGGTTTTTACGAGGTAGTACAGCAACTCAGCGACCTCGTTTATGAAGTCAAGCCTACAGAACATGGGCATTCCAAACGACGCAACCCCACCGAACGTGTACACATTGTGCGCATGAAACCGTACTATGACTGGTACGAAGACTAGCCACCCCACTTGCTTGCTGTACAACCATTTCACTCTTGCCAACCTTCCGAGACGGGAACGCTGCATACATTATCATCGAAAGCATCGGGGCGATGCCTCTTGAGAGGGGGGATAATGCCACAGGAAATTACCATTGCTTCGCGCAACGGGGAGGTCGGGAACCAGAGAAACGCTAACGGCACTACTACGAGCGACGAAGCCAGCCGCAATGCACGAGCCAGCCCTGCATGCGCACAGCACTTCATTGAACAGCCAACACGTGTGAAGAAGAAGAGAACGAGGGTGCTCAAGGCAGAGGCTCACGAGGACTACCGACCTTGGATCTTCTTGATTGCTGTGCGTCGTTCACTTTGGGCACAAGTTCGCCCTTAATGAACCGTCTAAATAGAACATCCTTGTTGTGAGGCTGCTACATTCGTTACAATATGAACATTCCAGGCTTATCATCACGAATGGTATTGGCATTGCTGTAAGGCTCTGTAAAAAGTGCTGGAGTGATAACATCACTTTATGTTTACCATAAGGATGTTTACCATAAAGAAACTACTAACAGAAAAATTGTTCACAGCATACACTAGTTTTCAGTCATAAAACAGGGCACATAAAATAGATGAAGTTTGTGCCACCAGGTGGTGCCACAGGCTATTTTTCGCAATTTTTTATGAAGAAATAAAATTATAACTGCACTTTTCACGAGAGAATAGGGTTGGCTTGAGTCACCGTAAGGGACAATCTTTTCATTCATGCAGTCATCCAATTTCATGTTGTAGGCAATTGCCGGTCTCTTTAAAGTTAATGCTAGTAGATTGGAAGAAAGGCCTTTATGTGCGGAAATGAGGAATTGGTTCTTAGGTAGCTACTGTTTTCTAAAGTGCCCTTCATATGTGATGCTAACTAAAAGCGTGGCACTGCCAACGCAAAAGTAGTTTTCTTTTTTTGTTTTTGCACCCGTGCATGCCCATGGCGGCAAGAATGGCGGCAAGAATGGCGGCAACACCAGCTCATGAGGCGCAGGCCCGCCTGCCCGCCTCGCGGTCACCCTTGGCTAATCACAAGCGCTCGCTCTCGCCTGCTGCTTCGTATGCGCTGCCGCCGCTTCGCGCTTCATCATCGGGGGGGGGGGGGGGGGGGGGGGGAGAACTTGTGGAAAATGCATGCTCGCACCGAAATCCAAGGCGAAATTCCTAGATTGTCTGTGGAAAAAATTCCTTATATCGAAGTTGTCTTCCTCTGTTACTTTGTAACATAGAGGTCACAAGTACATGTGCTTTTATGGAGCAACGACTGTGAATAGAGAAACTTCGTTACATTGAGGAGTTTATTATCTGGAGGTTCGTTATAAGCAAGTTTAAGTGTACAATTTCTAGACATTTTTCTTACATTTTAGAACCACGTTTGCTGGCACTGTTTTTCAAGATCTTTAAAACCACTGCACTCAAACCTTGTTATAACGTAACGGGATATGACGAAATAGTGGATATAACAAAGTAAGTGAAATTCTCTTTGAAAGCTCCATTGAGAATCATGCAACTTAAACTCGTTGTAACGAAGTAAAATTGACTGGTAGATGAATATAACGAACCGAATTAGTCGATCAAATAGTCTATTAAAAAAAACTACCATTGTGTTAAGTATATAGTTTTCTGCTGAGTTTTACGCTCGTTTGGTGCGGCTCTTTCAAAACTCCCACGCCGACCTTACAGCCACGCCACATGCGGCCGAGAGAGTCGTCCTTCTCATACAGCCAGTGGAGAGGATTGAGGAAGCGCTCAGTAGGTCTTTTCACGGAGAAGCGCCGCCGCCGTGCAAAGCGATTTCCCTCTCACTTAAGAAAACACATGACGGGGAAGCTTCAGAAGGCTGTTTGCCTTGCAGCGAGTCAATCGATTTCGCAGGCAGTTTGCAAAGCATAGTAGGGCGTGGCTAAGTCCAGCGCCAACACTCTCTAAAGACGGCGACAACAAATGCGTCTCCACTGCCTCCCTCGGCACTGAGAAAGGAGGAGCGTCTCCACGCAGAGAAAAGCAGATCGGCATTAGAGAGAGAGCCAACTTTCTGCGATAGCTTTCTTTTTTTAGGGGCGAAGTTCCTTAGGGCGTGGGCTGTGCGTCCCCTGTAGCCTGTATGTAGCCACCTCTAGTTTAGTTCTTGCAGTGTTCACTAGATGGCGGTACCGTCCCCTGTATGTAGCCACCTCTCGTTTAGTTCTTGTAGTGTTTACTAGATGGTGGTACTTGTAGCTGATGATGAAAAGATGCAAGATGTTATAAACTAGAAAGCGGTACTTGTAGTTGATGAAAGACGCGAGATCTTATAAAGTAGGAATGATGTCACATATGGCGCGTGTCATTGGTTGAAGGCAATCGTTCGATTTAGTGCGGCGACGTACGCTAGGGGGAGCGATGTAATAAAATTGAGTGGGCAAAATGTACAGAGGATTCATGGTTTACCAGGTTTACCTCCGGAGCTTCGCCCACTCATCATCATTCACTTCGTGGATATGGCGGAATTTTTTTCTCTCTCTCTCTGCGTGCGGCCTTGAAAGGAGAAGGGTCTATTACGTGCAGAGACAGAAAAGGGAGAAGCGTGGCACAGGCGCATCGCGGGTAGGCATTTGAGAGAAAGCAAACAATCCCCCCCAGTCTTTTTTTCCCTTTTCTTCTTTTCCTTCTTCGCCCATAGTGTTGAGAGGTGCCGCCGTGGGATTGGGCATGGTGCTGAGAGCATTTTTGAAGAGTGGTATAATCGAATTAATCGTCGCAAGTGCTTGCTCGTTTCAATTACAGGGCATTTTCGCCCATTGGAATACACATAGCTTCGATGGGACCACATCGTGAGTTCGAATTAACCGGAAGTTCGAATTAAGCGTGTTTGAATTAATGAGATTTGACTGTGTTTACTTTCTGTCGCACGCGTGGTCGCATAGTGGTACATCGGGCCGCAGGGCGTTTTCCTTCTTTGCATGCTCATAGGTGTGCGCTCATCTGAGCATACATAGCCACAAACTCTTATAATCGATATAACAAAATAATGTATATAATAAAATAATTGTGGTTTCCCTTCAACTTCATTATAACGAGGTTTGACTGTATTAAATTTCTTGTCAGAACACTCGAAGGTTGTAAAAAACAGTATAACCATGTCTTGCCTAAAGTCGGCCCTCACAAAGTCCTGTGAGCACAAAGTGAGTGATAGCTTTAGCATGCAGGTTATGCGTCTTTAGGTTATCTTTTTGATGTAGTGGTCACTGTCGCTGAATGGTTAAAGAAATTCGTTAGGTTAAGCCCGAGCATGGTTGCAGGAAGAGAGAGGAGGAAACGTACCGTAGGTATACCAGACATTCATTGCATTTTCGTAGGCTAAAGAAAGTAGGAAATGGATACGGCCTTATTGTTGCTTTTGTGGCTGTCAATAAGCTAGCAAAGATTTGTATTTTGCATAGGCATGTGCAAATAAGTTTTTGTGTCGTCCTTCTTTTCTGCCTTCGTGCGCGCCTGACTTTCTTCTTCTGTGCATGTTTGCAGGCCCTGTCTTTCAAAAATGAATACGTGAAGATTTTATGTTATATCTGCACCACAGTTATATCACGATATCGCATCACTTTATGCTGGGTGATATTAAAAGGGTTTGGGGGCATTTGTCTTATTCATCTTCATATACCACGTATCCACATTTATTTGCACAAACTTTTACTTCCCTGCAGGCTACGAGCAGCCCACGGGAATGACTGGAGATTTATTGGAAGTAAATTGGGTCGGAGTGCAGCATCTATAAAGGACAGGTGCCGACTCATGAAAGAGAACTGTCGTCAAGGTAATGCATTGCAAGTCACATTTACTTGCACTCCGATGTTTAATGCAAAAGAAGCCTGTTACTGCTTGTGTAAGTACTATTCCCCTCCTGAATTTGGGTCTGTTAACGTAAGTGAAAAAACAAAACAAAATCACAGCATATTCATGGAGTGAATGACGATAAGTGGGGCAAAGCGTGGAGGGTTTCATTGCTAAACCGTGAATCATACCTGAATATCGCCCACTTCATCATCAAAGACGTGACAAACAATGTATATATTTATACAAAAAATTTTAATATTCGTAAGTGGTAGCTATACGTCGCTTCCGTTCCCCCTTCATTATAACGGCTTTAGGGTCCGTGATGGGGTGGATCGGTGATGGGGTGTAGTGTTTACAAGGTTGAAGTAGTGGACAGTTTGCAAAGGTGGAACTATAGGCGATCACGTACAAATAAGGGATAAACAGACCCACGCCTTTAGGAGCTTTGCCCCTAATATTAAACTTTTATTTGCGCTTTGACTGTCTTTTTTCACTGTACACTGTACACACTTGTATTGTTATTCCTTTCACTTTGTTTATTGCTTATACAGTCCATAGTTAGCGAAAACTTCTGAGGCTTGAAATGTTAGAATTGTCATATAGTATGTGTCCCAACCTCTCCCAGATTGTTATATTACATTTTTCTGGTTTCCCTCATTATTCTAAGCCTCTTCACCGCTTCCCAGTGTTAAATTATGGAAACATTATTTACTTTTTTTATTGTAAATAAATAAATAAACCAAATTTGGAAACAACTAATTACCTACCCCGACAATACTCTGGCTTCTATCTTCTCTGAAAATGGTTGGCGCCTCAGCTTCGTTGTTTTCCTTCGGCACTGTGCTGTTGCGTTCCCTAGCGAAGGCTGCCTAGAATTGCTAGACGAGTACGGCAACGTCTACGGCTCGCGGGTGAGCCAGCTGTTCTCGTGTACGACGGTCACAACTATCGGAAAGCAGTTTGTAGCCCACTCTACTCACCGGAGCTTGCCAAGTCAAGAATTAGACGTGCCTGACAGAATAAGGTGGTTTATTGCTAAATTATCGCTTTATGTTCACGTTTTGCGCGGAGTAACCTCATCTTTGGCCAACTTTTTTTCGCTACGGTCGCAGTCGGCCGACCCGCACTGCTGCAAAGGATACTCGTGCGCATGTATTCTCACGTTCCTTCCTTCAAGTTTTGTTATTGCCCCGTTACACTATGATCAGCGCAAACTGCGTCTACAGTGTTAGAGAAGCTTCGAGGCAGTAGTAGTTTTCTTAAGATTGCACCCACTTCGTGAACCTTTCAGATTATTCTGGAACTTGCATTGCTGCCAGCGATAACGCTAGAATGTTCGATGGCAAGTGTATAAATGCCTACATGCTTCGCTGCTTGTCAGTTGATCAACAGCCGACGACCTGCTCGCCACTATTAGTGCCAGCTTCTTGCTGTAATCTGACTTTCATTTTACGTGGCCACAAGTTCGGCCCTAAGTAACTGTTTATTTATTATTCGACCTGCAGTCTGCTTCCTTTGTTCATGTCACGACCCTGTGACAGTATTGTGACACACATGAAAATAATTACTCAGAGGTGCTTCATCTAGATAAATAGCGAGACAAATTAAAATTTCACTATTACATTATGTTCAGTACCCCAAACTTACCATATCTGCAGAAGAAAACAGCCTGTCGTCGTGATTATCCGGCCGATTCATGCCGTTGCTCTCGAATTCAGAGGATTAAACGTGAAGTGCAAAGCTGCAAGTGTATTATAGATTCACAATATGAACTGTAATGAGGCTGCAAATGGCACACAGGCGCTGTATAAGCAAGTATCTCAGCACGTTTGCTCATAATCGGCACAAAAGTTTTGCTTTTCCAGCTCGTCTATCATATGGAGGCCGTGATGTCGGCTGGCGCATCTGAAATGCCGCACTCGCACAACTCGCCTCCTTCTTGCTGGCACTCGTTGCGCATGTGCGAGCCGCCATAGCATCTCCACCGTTGTGAGGAGAACTGCTTTACTCTTCCATACTTTCAGCTTCACAAAATGTGACTTAATGGCCTCTTATTTCATGTACTATTCTCCTTTCAGCGGCCGTCAGAAGGAGAATAGTACATGAAATAACATTATGATAGTGGCAGATTACAGGTTGAGAAAACATGAAAGTGTGTACCTAAATTTATTGGAATTTCGCTCATTTACTATTTGTTCGGGCAATGCATTCCATACCTCAATAGCAGTTGGTAGGAAGGATTTGTTGAATGCTTTAGTGTTATCATGTAAGCACTGAACAGTGAGGTTATTAAACAGACGGTGTGAAGTGCGGTCGGGCGGAACAAAAATATTATCTCTGAGGTGAGGGAATTTATATTACAGTTTGTGAAAAAGAAATAGTTTTAAAATCTGACGGCAAATAGATAGATTGTTGAATGCTTTAGTGTTACCATGTAAGCGCTGAACAGTGAGGTTATTAAACAGACTGTGTGAAGTGCTGTCGGGCGGAACAAAAATATTATCTCTGAGGTGAGGGAATTTATATTACAGTTTGTGAAAAAGGAATAGTTTTAAAATCTGATGGCAAATAGATAGACTAGGTATGCTGAGAGAAGATTTTATGGTAGTGATACTAGTGTGCCAGTCATAGTTTGAAGTATTGAAACATGCCGCACGATTTTGTACTGCTTCAATAGAGTCAATAAGACAAGTCTGGTGAGGGTTCCGAATCACTGAGGCATGTTGAAGTTTTGTCCGAATGAATGTTTTGTGACTGAGTTTGCGCACAGGGATTAATGCTAGAAAGAATGACCGCTTGAGGAGGCCAAGTGATTCGGAGCAGTCTTTTATAAGATTTGTTATGTGCATAGTTCATGTGAGTTGATCAATAATTGTAACTCCGAGGTAATGGTAACAGGCGACTTGGGTGAGCACTGAAGATTTGAGAGAGTACTGGTAATTCAAGGTTGCGTGCTTCCAGGTAACACACATGTACTTGAATTTGGAAATGTTGAGGGACATAAGCCAGGCAGAACAACAATTTACAATTTTTTAAAGTCTTTCTTGAGGATAAGCTGGTCATTGGTGGAGGGTATACGCCGATAGAGGACGCAGTCATTAGCGAATAATTCAATGGATGCAGAAATGTTTGCAGGGATGTCAGTTATAAAGATCAGGAACAGGAGAGGTCCAAGCACATAGCCTTGTGGTACACCTTACAAGACAAAGCTACTTGATGACTGAATGTAACAATGACTGTATTATGAGCAGTTAGCGAGAAAATACTTAATCTAGGATAATACATGAGTATCAAGGTTGAGGCAAGCAAGTTTTGAAGATGGACCGAGGTGTCACTGCCGTGAGGTGTCACTGCCGGTGCTACCCCGCTAGAGTCACTCGAAAAATTTCAGAATACCGCATCTGTTTTCTGCGTACCGCCACCAATACTTTTTCGCATCACGTGACCTTGCGCCGCCATATCCCTTTCAAGCACTTTTCGGTGAGCGTGTGTCTTGAACGTGCAGTTCTGCTGCTGGGCTTTTAGCATGCGCACATTACCTAAAGGCATTTTGTCGCTTTTATAACGCACCATGCAGATGGGAGGAAGTATACCTAAGCATAAACTGAACGTGACCTAGAAGTATAGTTTATTTCCCCATTTTGTGCAGGAAAAAAAATGCCAAAGAAAGGCGTTCAAACATGACTGTATATAGAGTTGATCTCAAAAATTCTGCCCTTCGCAAGAAGAGTCGTCTCTGCAGTAAGCTACACGAAGTCTGCAGGAAACACTCGCATGCAACAATATTTTGCCTTGATTTCCCATTCGGTCTGGTCAGTGATTAATAGGCCCGTGTACTCAGATTTGGGTGCACGTTAAAGAACCCCAGGTGGTCAAAATTTCCGGAGCCCTCCACTACGGCGTCTCTCATAATCAAATGGTGGTTTTGAGACGTTAAACCCCACAAATCAATCAATGGTCAGTGATTAAAAATAAAACACTAAAAACTCTTCAATTTCCTCAGCTTTTATTTGTCTGTATCTTTTGAACAGACTGCACATGAATTTCGAGTAAGCACATCACGAAAAGAAATTTAAAAAAATTATTAAAATGATTGTTCACTGGTTAACCTTGACGTCAGTGACATTATTATTTGCCATATCGCAAAACATCACTGTGACTGATAGGAAGGTTGCACATAAAATTTGGGGATATAAAATGGTATTAGATATAAAACATATTTTTTACAAAAATTATGATGCTAACGTTGTATACTACCGAGCACACACTTACAATGCAGTTCAGTCAATAAAAAGGGTCACAATGCCCCGCCGCGGTGGTCTAGTGGCTAAGGTACTCGGCTGCTGACCCGCAGGGCGCGGGTTCGAATCCCGGCTGTGGCGGCTGCATTTCCGATGGAGGCGGAAATGTTGTAGGCCCGTGTGCTCAGATTTGGGTGCACGTTAAAGAACCCCAGGTGGTCTAAATTTCCGGAGCCCTCCACTACGGCGTCTCTCATAATCATATAGTGGTTTTGGGACGTTAAACCCCACATATCAATCAATCAAAAAGGGTCACAATAAAAACAAGTATGTATTTTGCAGTGGATTACAATCGTTCTTGGGCCAGTTGTAACAGCTGAATGAGTGGCATAAAAGTAGAACATGAATTTCGTGGTCTGAGCTTTTTTCCTTATCATAATAACCTCGTAAAGCCTTCTTATGTACTCCTACTGTTGAGATAAACATGTAACAGTGTGTCTTATAAAAATTTATAACTGGGCTTGTTGGTTCCGGCATAATACATATAAGTTTTTAACTGCGATACTGTGTTCCTTTAGCATATGCTTTAAAATTTTTGAATTATGCTACTTCTGACCAAAAATCTAGGAAAGTCGGTGGAGAAAAAACTGTAACAAGCGCGCATGATGAAAAAAAAAAAAAGTTGAAATTAAACCGAACCTCTCCACAACTTACAGGCTGCAGACGTTAACAAGGAAAC